TCTCAGATTTTGTACATATTGCTTTCCATCAATGACAAGATCTAATTGTGTCTTGTATCCTGTATTTCATTTAAATTCATAGTTTTTACCATACCTATGTATTTGGAATTTATCACTGTTAAACATCATGTGATTGTCCATTACCCATTCTAAGACTTTATTGGTATTGGCTTGACATTTTTCTCTGCAATATGCATGTTGATTTTTGTATAGTATGCAAAGGATGATATGAAGCTGTGACTTGTGCTTTTTTCTATATCTGATATGAGAATGAGAAAAAGCAGTGTTTACTATTTGTGCCTACAAATCGTGCCATTAGCTTTTGGACCCCGCCTTTCTAACCAGTGTATTTTTCTCTCTGCCTTCTATATGTATATTTCTAACACACCTTCTCACCTAACAAGTTAGGAGAGAAGGTGGTGGAGGCCAAGTAAGTAAGTAATTATCAAACGAAGGCACCAAACCGGGATGGTGGAGGCCAAAACCGTCAGTAATTTCAAAGCATTATATGACAGTACTGGGAAGATGGGACACCACTAGTGTAGCTCTCATCCTGTAACTATACTTAGGTAATTACACACATCTCCAGAAAGCAGCCCATGGCAGCTGTCTAACACCAAGGTACATATTTACTGTTAGGTGAACAGCTGCATCAGGGTGAAAGAAACTGCACACTTGTTTCTGCTTTGGCTGGAAATCTAACCTGGGCCTTTAGGCCTATGACCCCCTCCCCCCCCCTAGTGCTATTTACTCAGCCACGAGGCAGTGGTACAAGGACTATGCTCTGGGTAACAACACTTTCCACTGTGCTTGGACATGAATTTGTTTGGAGACTATTAATTTTTGCATTCAGTTTGACAGAAAAGTGAACATCAATTGCCCTAATTTACCTGTTATTTCCACTGATCTCATTTTATAGGCCATCACTCCATGGTCACAATTATCAAATCCCTTTGCAAAGTCCATTTATACAACACGTGCATTTTATTTTTCTTCTCATGCTTCCATAATTTTGTCATAGTGCATGAGTCCATGATTTTGTCACAGAGCAGGAAAGGCAAGATCTTCCTACTCTAAAGCCATATTGACCTGAGTTGTGAAGTTCATTGCTCTCCTAAAACTGGATACTGTATTTGACTCATAATCACTCTTTCAAAAACTTAGCTATATAATGTGTAATGTTACCAAGACTGGTTTACAGTTTTTAGCCACTGTTTTGCTATCTTCCCTGTGTAGTGAAGCTATATATGCTGATTTAAATGCTTCTGGTATCTTACCTGTATCCAAGCTTTTTCTCCATACACCGAGCCCTTATGCTACTGGTACTTTATATTTCTTCAAATTCAAATTCAAATGTTTATTCAGATAAAGTACATACATACAAGAGGTGATACAAAAATTGATAGATTTATAGATAGAGCTAGTACATATAATGCCTAAAGCCACTATTACGCAAAGCATTTCGGGCAGACTTTTTCTTGATAAATATGGAATATTCCATGAGTCGAGACAAGGGGTTGAGTGCATGGGTGTGTTGTAAATTTTTCTTTCAATGTCTGCTGTGCTCTTAATAATATCAGTTACATTGTCAGAGTTTTAGATATTGATAATAAAAGAAACTGTCTGGATCTTCAACCTTCATACTGTTTATTGGTGTGCTAAACATAGCCTCATACTATTCATTTAGGATTTCACCCACTTCTTTGTCATCATCTGTGTATGAACCTACACTTGTAAGTATAGGTCCAATTCTAGTGGAAGGTTTTTTATTTTGATGTTGCATATGTGAAAAAATACTTTGGATTTATATTTGATCTTTTTGTATAGCTCTTTTTTGTATATTTTGTTCCATAGTTCTTCAGTCTGGTAGGTAGTGATTGCTTCAGCTTCTGTTCTATTTCTTCAGCCTCTTCGTTTAAATTTATTTTTCTTTGTTGTAATATTAGTGTCTGTTTCGGCATTTAAGTTATTATTTTTCTTTATCTGTACTGTCATCTGTGCTATCTTTCTAAGTTGGACCTCTTTTTGAACCTCAGTAAAGGAACATGCTTCAATAAGACTTTAAATGCTTCAGTAATTAATTGTTCTATGCCTTAGATGATAGATTTGGTACTTAAGATGGTTTTCCATTGGATACTTACAAGTTCTATGTTTATTCTTTGCAGTAAATCTTCTTAGATGTTAAAATTGAATTTGCTGAATAGCCCTTCTCGCTTGCTATTTCTTTCGGACATACCGTATATTTATTGATGTTAGTCTGAGTTTCAATTAGTTTGTAGTCTGAGCATGTAGTATCTGAGATTGTAATGTACCTGATTATTTTTTCTGTTTGTGGAGATCAAATCGAAAGTATTTTCATTCCTAGTTAGTTCGGTTATCTGCTGGTTGAGCAAAAAATTTTCACAAAATCTAAGTAGTTCTCTGACCTGTGATTGGTTATTTCCAGGTTGATTTTTTGTTAAAATGTTATTGTTTGATATCTCCAATGAAAATATTATTCGGCACTGGGTATTCTCGATTATCGAGGCACTTCTCTGTTTTTGTTCATTTGTTCTGTGCATTCCTCAACTCTTGCATTTGGCAGTTTGTATTAGAATATTAACATGTGCTCTCTACTTTGATTCCAAGTACCTCTACTTATTTGTAGAGTTCAAGAGCTTAGTGTATACAAGTTCCTCTTTAATATACAGACCTACTTCTTCTTGTTTACTCTACAAGTATTACATCCATATAAATAACATTTTGAGATCCAGCTTTCATTGTCCATGTAGACTCTCATATGGATTTCTGTGAAGGCAGTTATCATCAATATGTGGTTATTGTCATTTGACAAATATTGCTACTGTATTACCGTGCTCCCCGATTTGTATAGCAATGTTAATATGGTTATAATACCTATATGAGTGAGACAGAATTACTGTAGTTTCACGAAAAAATTCTGCCACTGTTTTACAATTTTTTATTATGTGATGAGGTTACAGTGTACTAGGAGCCTGTGGTTATCATCAAAGCACAATTTGGCCATTCTGCCAGCTTTTAATTCATGTTTGGATGACATTCCCAGACAGACACACACAGCAAGGGAATAGGTTGCAAGATGCTCCTTTGAGCTTTGCAAAGAACAGATTTATATGAAAATGGGTGTACAGTATGTATCTTAATATGTAGGCCCATATACAGTACTCTTTTTGTCAATTATGTACAGATAAATTGAGTTATTCAACATAAACACTAAACTAATAAGTGAAATAACATAAAACACGAAGGTGAACATGGGCATTCTTTTGGCCAACTGCACCCTTTATGGCACCTAGCACAATACTTATTATTATTTTTCAAGGTCATATGACCCACTAAATGAGGCCGTCACCACAACACCATCTGGCAATTTTCATTCAGGAGATTCTTCCTCGTAGAATACGAACCATACATTATTGCTTGTTCAAAATTTAAAGGAAAATACTGTACATAGATATATATGATGATTTTTCTGTATCAAAATCAAACAAAATGGAGCCAAGTCAAAATCAGAATAATCATGATCGTTCACAGCAGTTTCAAATGTTTTCAGCACTTATAATTGATGGTAGTGTAAGTATAACTAATGTAAGGATGTTAGAGAGCTATTAGTAAGTATCAGCATCAAACACACAAGCAGTTGAACATGGCTACTGTATTCTCTGTTGGAATTTAAATGCCAATTGCAGTGGAATGAAAATGTTTCATGTGATACATCACAGTTCTCCAAAGAAGTCTTCTAGCCCACCTGTGTCATCTTCAAGTTCAACATATGATGAGATGATTTGCTCTGATGAAGTTTAAAATATTCCCAGAAAAGGTTGGCTTAAGCCATAATTGTCATTCGTTATGCTTGCTTCTGGCTCAAGAAGTGGCAGGAATCCTATGTGGTGGTGTGTCCCCTTCTGTTGAACATGCATCACAAAAGATTTTACTGTCGGCTGTCAAAAATGCCATGATTGTGTATAAAACAAGCACACAGTGCAGCCACCTCATTCATTACTACTGCAAGTCACGTATCATGCACATACACAATTCTGTATACACAATGAAATAACAAGAACATGATATATCTGTATGAAAAATGTTAAAGCTGTACGATGGGATCTCTTATCATGCATATACTGTACCTTGCTTTCCCAATAATAGTTAGCTCTTAAGGTACAGTACTGCATCCAGATTTAAGCTTAATTAACCACCTTTCTCAAAAAAAAAAGTAAGAAAATGGTATCCATTACATAAATGTACAAATAAGGGCAGTAAATCTAATGGAAACATTTTCAATACACTTTTCTGATGAGACATTCTTTTCTGATGAGACATTCTTTCTGGGCATTATTACTGATCAAGTAGTAACAACAAACATTTTATAGAACAAATGCAATTATATATTATATATATATATATATATATATATATATATATATATATATATATATATATATATATATATATATATATATATATATATATACAGTATACTGTATATATTATATATGTGTGTTGTACCTAGTAGCCAGAATGCAGTTCTTGGCCTACTATGCAAGGACTGATTTGCCTAATAGGCCGAGTGATTTTCTTTATTTTCAATAAATTCACTATCATAGCCCAGCTGATCAAGGGTGTTCTACAGGAATGTGTCAAGCTCCATATTTCATACTGGAGAATGCACAATTCAACCAAAAGAGTCCCTGCAGAAGTATCCCAACACTTATGCTGTTGCTTGCCATTAAATTGGCTATTTGTTTCTGCTAATGCTTAAAAAAAAAAAAAAAACATAATTACGAACAAAATGAATGAAATGTTCATCACTGTAGACCAAACACCAAAACAAAGGAAACAGAAGAACAGAATATTTTTGTTCAGAAGTACTGTATACAGTACTACCAAGGTGAAGCCCATATCCTTCATGCACTGTACATTATCAAATCAACTGCACAACTTTGCACCATAAACAGCACTGCACCTCTTGCTAATCTTACCTTCTGTATACTTTCATTGACATCATTATCCTTCAGGTCTGGAAATTTCTGCTTTAAGTGGTGGAAGAGCTGCATGTGGGGGATGTTGCGCGTGTCAGTAGGCAGCCGCGCAGAGTCCATACTGTGGCCCAACCCACTTCAAATATGGCCTGGCCTCCCCTTTTACACTAGGAGCCCAGCCAGACTTATTTATTGTGCTCTTATCTATATTTATCTATTTTGGCACTGTTAACTTTTTATAACTTGTAAGAGGCTAGCCAGCAGTTAGACACAGGGCCCCCTTGGCCACATATGTAACAAATAGTCAGCTACAGCAGCACGGAATCTGTCTCGGCTGCATCTTGGAGTCACTCCATCAACTTCCTGAAAAATAAAAACTAGAGTTTGTCACCGCATGAAATGAAGGAGAAGCAACAATAGACTATTAGAATACTGATATAGTACTGTACTGTACTTTCATTGTGCACCTGTTAAATTATTGTTAAAATTGTGATTTAAATATACAGTATATTGTATAAAGACCCACTGCCAAGGTAAGGAATTGTATCAACTGTTTCCACTTAATAATCCCAACAATTAATTACCTAAGTAATGTAATGTGTGTGTGTAATTACCTAAGAGTAGTTACAGGATGAGAGCTACGCTCGTGGTGTCCCGTCTTCCCAGCACTCTTTGTCATATAACGCTTTGAAACTACTGACGGTCTTGGCCTCCACCACCTTCTCACTTAACTTGTTCCAACCATCTACCACTCTATTTGCGAAGGTGAATTTTCTTATATTTCTTTGGCATCTGTGTTTAGCTAGTTTAAATCTATGACCTCTTGTTCTTGAAGTGCCAGGTCTCAGGAAATCTTCCCTGTCGATTTTATCAATTCCTGTTACTATTTTGTATGTAGTGATCATATCACCTCTTTTTCTTCCGTCTTCTAGTTTTGGCATGTTTAATGCTTCTAACCTCTCCTCGTAGCTCTTACCCTTCAGTTCTGGGAGCCACTTAGTAGCATGTCTTTGCACCTTTTCCAGTTTGTTGATGTGCTTCTTAAGATATGGGCACCACACAACAGCTGCATATTCTAGCTTTGGGCTAACAAAAGTCATGAACAATTTTTTTAGTATATCGCCATCCATGTATTTAAATGCAATTCTGAAGTTAGAAAGCATAGCATAGGCTCCTTGCACAATATTCTTTATATGGTCCTCAGGTGATAGTTTTCTATCTAGAACCACCCCTAGATCTCTTTCTTTATCAGAATTCTTTAAAGATTTCTCACATAATATATAGGTTGTGTGGGGTCTATGTTCTCCTATTCCACATTCCATAACATGACATTTATTAACATTAAATTCCATTTGCCAAGTGGTGCTCCATCTACTTATTTTGTCCAGGTCTTCTTGAAGGGCATGACAATCATCTAAATTTCTTATCCTTCCTATTATCTTAGCATCATCAGCAAACATGTTCATATAATTCTGTATACCAACTGGTAGATCATTTATGTACACAATAAACATCACTGGTGCAAGAACTGAACCTTGTGGTACTCCACTTGTGACATTTCTCCATTCCGATACATTGCCTCTGATTACTGCCCTCATTTTTCTATCAGTCAGAAAATTTTTCATCCATGATAGAAGCTTACCTGTCACCCCTCCAATATTTTCCAGTTTCCAGAACAACCTCTTATGTGGAACTCTGTCGAAAGCCTTTTTTAGGTCCAGATAGATGCAGTCAACCCAACCATCTCTTTCCTGTAATATCTGTGGCTCGATCATAGAAACTGAGTAAATTCGATACACAGGATCTTCCAGATCGAAAACCATACTGTCTGTCTGATATTATATCATTTCTCTCTAGGTGTTCTACCCATTTAGTTTTGATTAGTTTTTCCAATACTTTCACTATTACACTTGTCAATGATACAGGTCTATAATTGAAATAAGTGTCTAAAATAAGTGTGTGTGTGTGTGTGTGTGTGTGTGTGTGTGTGTGTGTGTGTGTGTGTGTGTGTGTGTGTGTGTGTGTGTGTGTGTGTGTGTGTAATTACCTAAGTGTAGTTACAGGATGAGAGCTACGCTCGTGGTGTCCCGTCTTCCCAGCACTCTTTGTCATATAACGCTTTGAAACTACTGACGGTCTTGGCCTCCACCACCTTGTGTGTGTGTGTGTGTGTGTGTGTGTGTGTGTGTGTGTGTGTGTGTGTGTGTGTGTGTGTGTGTGTGTGTGTGTGTGTGTGTGTGTGTGTGTGTGTGTGTGTGTGTGTGTGTGTGTGTGTGTGTGTGTGTGTACGCGCGCGCGCGTGCGTGCGTGCGTGCGCACTGAGAAAAAAATGGTAGTAGTAGAAACAGTTGATAGGCGGCCCAAAAGAGCAGAGCTCAACCCCCGCAAGCACAACTAGGTAAATACACACACGTGCGTGCCAATCTGTTTACTTAATAAACTAATTATTTTACAACACTGCAGCAACGCTGGACCTCTCACAACACACAGTTGTAAAGTAAACACCTCTCCTCTAGTCTGGTGTTGTTATGTTGAACCACCTGTCATCATGTTGAACATGATGACAGGTGTGCGCGTACACAACATTATGTTGCTATTCACAGGCAGCTGGCTTAAATGTACCCAAATTAAGCCTTAATGTGAGTGATAGGCTTTACCCTGCTGGCCCACAGTCCAACCCCGTCACACCTGCTAACTTATTACTCAGAATTATCTTTTTCAAATTGTTATGAAGGAACGTGGGATAAATTGAATAAGAACGTTCTGCGCCTCCATGTAAAGCTCCCGCTATAAAAGTGGAATGAAGGCGGGTTTAAGATGTGCAAAGATCACAGCGACACTAACGAGAGGGGAAGAGGAGGAATGACAGTTTGACCAAGGCGAGGAAAGGAAGAACACAACGGCGTCACAACGACTGCTAGATTGATAAAGATTAAGCCACCCAAAAGGTGGCACGGGCATGAATAACCCGTAAGGCGTCACAACGTTCGCCCTCCACATTTATACATGGGATGTCGGTGTTCAACTGCTGCCAACTCGGTCAACCAGCCCTGAAAGTCGTAACACACAAGTCAGATATCCACACCCAACACCAGGCTACCAAACAAAGCAGCATGCGCGCGCTTCTCAAACAAGCTTAGCACCCATTGATTGATGAAGATTAAGCCATTCAAGAGGTGGCACGGGCATGAATAGCCCGTAAGCTGTCCAACCGTGGTAGACGGTTGGAACAAGTTAGGTGAGAAGGTGGTGGAGGCCAAGACCGTCAGTAGTTTCAAAGCGTTATATGAGTGTTGGGAAGACGGGACACCACGAGCGTAGCTCTCATCCTGTAACTACACTTAGGTAATTACCGACATGAGTGAACGTGTGTACCTGGATGAGGTTCTGGGAGTTCTTCTATTCCCCAAGTCCGACCCTGGGCGAGGCTCGACTCCTTTCAACGAAAACTGATCAACTGCTGGAACACAGAACAATTGTCACTATCTAACGAGCGATTCTAAAGTAATAATTACTCTATCTATCTTGAGGTTATCTTGAGATGATTTCGGGGCTGTTAAGTGTCCCCGCGGCCCGGTCCTCGACCAGGCCTCCACCCCCAGGAAGCAGCCCGTGACAGCTGACTAACTCCCAGGTACCTATTTTACTGCTAGGTAACAGAGGCATAGGGTGAAAGAAACTCTGCCCATTGTTTCTCGCCGGCGGCCGGAATCGAACCCGGGACCACAGGATCATGCGCCCAGTGTTCTGTCCGTTCAGCCACCGGCTCCATCTAACGGACGATTCTTTTTTGTGGGGGAGTGGTTAATAAATATAGGCCAAGCCTCATAATTCTAAGTTTATGTAGTGAATTTCCTTTATCTAATGCAATGTTTTATCAGCATATAAATTCAGATTCAGTTGTTAAAATTAGCTGAATCTGGAGGAAAGGTTGTGGTTAAATGACTGACTGACTGGAGAGGAAGCGAAGGTTGAATGGCAGTGATCAATAATTTATCTGGCTTTATAAGTACGAGGCGATTAACGCAGAACAAACAAAATTCATCTATTGAGATTACATACAATCATCCCTGCTAGGCTATACACCAGCTCTCTCACAGGACAACGAGACTTATCCCAAGAACATATTCTGTCTGATATCCTTTGGACAGAGAGAGGGCTCCAGAGGCCACAATGGTCTGCCCTTGGTGTCGACGGCGCACGTTAAGTGACCCCCCTACAGCAGAGGACATATTATAGCTGAAATATGGTCCAGGGACTTGTAATATGGACATGAGAATGGTCCATGAGGGAGCGAAACGTCGTCTAGTGAAGTCAACATATCTCAGCCACGTTATTGTGACTCCTCGTCTGCATATTACAGCTAGCTGTCTTGCGCGTCTGCCCGATGCCTCCAGGTGCGAGCTACGCACTGTGGGTGAGGCTCGCCCACGGCCACCTGCCCATCTTGCCAGCACTTCCACACGCCGCCACCCTCTTACACCACTACCACTTCCACTTGTTAACGTCAGTACAAGCCGTCCTCACCCGCCTCTTGGCAACACCCAGCTGCTGCAGCACGCTCACACAACTCGCTTACATGGGTTGCCTCCACTTCCGGCGTAGTGCCTCAAGCTTGGCGCATTTCTTCCTCATCAAGGACTAGCGAGTATATTTACCTCGGAGGAAGGGTTATTTTCAGACAGTGGGAATTCTATGCACGCTCGGTCTGCATTTGGAAATAAACCTTGCCTAAGGGTGTAGTTAGCTTGGGGGGCTGGCGGTAGGGGCTGGTGGCAGGGAATAGTGGTAGGAGGTGGCGGCCAGGGCTGGTGGTCGGAGGTGTCTGCCAGGGCTGGTGGCAGGGCCTAGTGGTCGGAGGTGGCGGCCAGGGCTGGTGGCAGGGCCTGGTGGTCGGAGGTGGCGACCAGGGCTGGTGGCAGGGACTAGTGGTCGGAGGCGGCAGCCAGGGCTGATGGCAGGGCTTATGGTGGTAGGTAGGCCCTAGCGGCCGGGGCCGGCTAGGCAGACGTCACAGGCTGACAGACGACCAGAGATGGTGACCGGATTTCAGGGACTCTGGTAGCCTAAGCTCCAAATAACTCTTCTGCCAGATTAACAGCGTGGTGACCTTGGCTAATAGTGTGCCTATAGGTACATCGAAAAATAATTAAAATATTATTACTGGTGGCTGTATTTTGGCAGTGAAGGTAATATTCCTGACATTTACTGGTTGGCTATTTCCTGTTCCTGGTAAAACATGAGTTGGTTTGGTTAGGAGCGTTAGTTCACTAGCGCCAACCCTCGGCGCCCTTCTCTTATAACATATCCCGGGCATGGTACAACATAAAAACACTATCCCTGAGCATCTATTCATCGCATGG